ACTGTAAAGGTACCATAAAAAAACAAAATGATTAAAAAGCATGTCTATATACTTTCAATGGTTCAGCATAGAAAATATACCATGCCTGTGTCACCTATAATCACTCCTGGAGATGCTTGGAAGCTAAAACAGGGGGGGGGGGGTTTAGAGAAGGTTCTATTAAAATGGAGTACATAAATTCTGTCTGTCTTGTGGATCACTATTTCTGCACAGCGTTTATCCAAAATCTTGAAAACACATGTCCTTGTCAAAAAATGATGATTTTGTCTGATATGCGACCACCGACAATGATGTCCAAGATGCCACAAGAGTAGAAGAAGTCAGTAGGACCAAACATCCCATATGAAATGTTGAGCACCTTACTGACCTCCCCTGTCTTGGACAATCACAGATCAGTGCCAGCAATCAGACAGCAGATATTCAATTCCAAAAGAAGAAGGAAAAAAAGAAAGTTTCAGAGAGTACACATTGATTGGCAAGAGATGATGATGACAGATGAAAACAGTGTAAAAAAGAAATCAAACACAAAAAAATAATACAAACTTAAGAGTCAGTTGACTATATACCTTTAACTTGGCTGTTGTGGACTGTAATATTGTTGACAGCTGTATCTTGTTTTCTGAATGATCATTGTCTCTGCTACTGGTACAAAATTGTTCACTTCTGACTGGCAACTGGCCTGATTTTTTATGAAGCCACCCATCCAGGCTATAACTGCTTGCAATCCCACATCAGTCAGCTAGAAATGAGCCACTGAAAAAAAATAAATTTTTAAGAATTTCAACTTTAGTTCACATTCATAATTAATAAGTAATTGTGTCAAATTAATAAGTAACTGTGTCAACTATAATTACAGACACCAAGTAGCCAAAGTTTTGAGAAATTAGGCATTACTTTCCTATTAACAACAGTGTAATCTGAACAATCAAATGTTTAAAACATACCTTGGTTTTTGAACTCCATTTGGCATTTAAAATAGCAGGATAGGTGAGAAATGGGTTTTATGTCACCTACAACATTATATATAGAATCAAAATTCATATTGCATAAATGTTTGACACACATCAATTGCACACATTACGTCATCCCTTTGACAAGCTGAGCAGGTGCCCCCCTCCCCCTTTTCAATTATTTAAATCCATTTAACTTCTCCAAAATACAATTTTTTCCATAAAATTTGTCAACAATTTGCATAATTAGTTCCAAATTATCCAAAAAGTGCCAGTAAATTGATTAAGGTGAGATTTGACCTTTGACCTCATAGGACACAGACTACCAATTATTTTGCTATACATTCCTTTATACTATAAAAAATGATTAAAAAAATTACACCAGCTCAACTTACCTGAAACTTGGCACAGAGTAAGAAGAATTCAAGTCCAAAAATTTTTCAGACTCTCAGGAAAATTCATCGCATGCAGTTCCTGCTAAGGCATCGCAAATAACCCCTACCCTGCTTTTTTCACTTTCTCTTCGGGGAAAGGGTAAATATGGGCCTCTTTACACCCTTCCTACTACGCGCGCAAGTGCAAAATTTCACATATTAACAATTTTATATTTTTTTTCAAACCCTCTCCTTTCCATCTATACCCAAAAATAACATCAGTCCACCCCATAAACACCCCAAAGAATTTTTAAGAAAAAACCTCTATTTTTAAACTGGAACTACTTGAGTGGTCAATGAAATAGGGGTAAAATTAGTAGTCTGTAACCATGATTTGTGTCAAGAAGAGTTATGTCTCTTTGTTTACAATTTGACAACAGTTTTGTGTATCGAAGTATTTTCTAGAACATGTAATACATCGTGATTATTTGCTAGGATGTGTTATCGTGTGTAACTTGCTTGAAATATCTTGTATTTATAGTATTTTTTCTTTGCATTGTTTGTAGTAAATCGTCAGTGTAATAGTCAATGTCATTTCAACGTCATTCACGTCATTTCCATGTCAACTTCAACTTCAAGTCATATTTCCATGTCATTGTCATCGTCATATCTCATCATCCTCATAAATAAAATCATTGGACGCATTTACGACGTTGTTTCTTTAATTTCCTGTCCGGAGTCAGTACAAAATATTTACAATTAGAAGATGAGATGAAGGAAGGAGAGGAGGGTGAGTCACAGGAGGGTCAGCCCAGAAGGAGTGAAAGAAAGAAAAAGATGACTGAAAAAAGGTGCTGAATTTACTTTAGAGACTAAGCTCAACAACAGAGAGAAATGTTACAAGGTACTGTTAGCACTTAGTGATAATTTAAAAGGAATTTTGGAGTCGTCAGATGATAAAGACACCATCAAAACTGCTTACAGTAAATGGTTAGACAATTACAATGACTTTCTAGAGTTCCAGGAAGAAGTTAAAGCATTGATCTCTCCGAGCGAGCAGGCGGTAGATGAAGAAATATTCACCGGAAGAAATAAACAACTAATGGATGTGAAATCGTCAGTCGAGAAATGGTTTTCAAGACAGTCGAAAGGTGTTTCATTTGATAAACGATCTATTGTTTCGAAGTCAAGTAACTATTCAGTGGCCAAGCTTGAGGAAAAACAACATAAAGCAGAACTATTGGCAAAAGCAGCTGCGCTTAAAGAAACGAAACAGATAGAGGAGGCCAAACTACAGTTAAAAATGAAAGAAGAAGAACTTCATATACAAACAGCACTAAAGATCAGTGACGCTCGAACTAAAATTATTGAAGAACTTGAAAGGAGTGAATTTGAGGGACCAACAGCTTACCGAAGCTTTGAGTGATATCCAGGCAGAATTGCATCACCATGACGTACCTTTGTTTTCACCTGTACCGAAAACAACTGCACAGCAGTTACCGCATTTGCATGTAACTGTGTCTACCACACAGTCCACCTTGAATCCACATGCGCCTTTGTTTACATCCGTGCCAAGGACTGTAAGTCAGCAGAACTGGAATACACCATTCGTGACTCCAGGTACTTCATCACATGTGCCTGTTAGTGTGACTACATGTACGCCATATAGTATTCCTTACATTCCTATGTCGACACAACATAGTACGCCTTATGTACCTGCGTTACCAACATTCGGTGACTTGTACAATTCAGGACATGCGCACAGTCATAATCGTGAATATGAAGGCCTACTTATTGTGGCACAAGAACTAAATAAGCCAAAATCAGAAATACAGAAGTTTGAAGGGAATCCAAAGGACTACCAGAGATTCATTAGACAGTTTAATACAAGGGTGTGTGCTAATACCAGCTCATATGAAGAACGTTTGAACTTTCTTCTGCAATTTACCAGTGGTGAGGCTAACAGAATAGTGACTGGATATTCACACTTAAATGCTGAAGGCGGATATAAGGCAGTGATGGATGAATTCAAAGATCGATATGGTGATCCAGACATTGTTGCGCAAGCTTATGTGAAAAAAGCATTGAATTGGTCCTAAATAAAACAAGACAATGCAAGGGGACTTGATGACTATGCAGTATTCCTTACCGAGTGTCAGCATGCTGTCAATAACGTAGCCAGCGCTAGAGCCTTAGAGTATCCAGAGAACATGAAACTTATTGTAAAGAAACTTCCGTTCTACTTACAAGAAAAGTGGCGAAATGTTGTGTACGAGCTCAAAGACAGAAGAGAAGTTGTGAAGTTTGAGAACTTAAAGCTAAAAAGGCCAACGACCCTATCTATGGAAGAGAAGTGATGAATATCACAACGTCTTCAACCCACGGACAAAATGTTAAACCAGCCACATTCTCAAAACAGAAAGGGAACTTTGCAACTAAGACCGTGGAGTCTCATCTATCTACAAACAATTATGCATCTGAACAACATAGACCAAAATCATCTAGATCTGTGAAACCATGTGCTTATTGTCAAGGCACATCACATTCATTGGAAGAGTGCCGGAACATTATGAAGATACGCCTAAAGGACAGATATGAAGTGTTGAAGTCCAAGGGACTGTGTTTCTCGTGTTTGAGATCAGGACATCTTAAAGGAGCCTGTCAACACAAGTTATACTGCGTTCACTGTAAGAAGTGTCACCCATCTATACTTCATGTGAATCCTCGACAAGGCAAGGAAAACCCAGTGACTACTGATCAAAACAACAACAGCTCATCTGCAGCCGTTTCTTCAACAGCGCATATGGGGGCTGGGGACTCAGTGAGGCAAGCGCTTCCTGTCATACTAGTACGTCTGAAATCAAGAAACAGTGACAAATTTATTACAACTTATGCTTTCTTGGATTCTGGGAGTACGACGACATTTTGTTCAGAGGAAATCGCAAGATCACTTCACCTTGAAGGCAAAAAAACTGTGCTTAACTTAACAACCATAGGACAGCAGAGGACAGAGAATTGTTGCATTCTATCTGGTCTTGAAGTGAGTGATTTAAATGGTGATCACACAATTGACTTACCTCCTATGTACACTCAACCGGATCTGCCCATATCTAAGAAAGACATTGTTACGTCCGAGGACCTACAAAGATGGCCGCATCTGCGTGATGTACATATTGATACCATAAATTAAACAAAGAGACAATGCAGAAGGTTATCGATAAACAAAATGATACGATCGAAAAATTGAATCAAAGGATAGCACAGCTGGAATTAGAATCGGAAGACACAAATTATTTTGCCCGTGAGGCCTATGTTACTGCAAATCGCAACGAACAGTATTCTAGGAAAAACTCCTTCAAGCTCAATGGTGTTCCTCAGACACAGGGGGAAAATGTAATGGAAGTTGTCAATCAGGTGATTCAAAGAGAATGTGGGGTGCGGATCCTAGAAAGCGATGTCATTGCAATCCATAGAATCCCGGGTAAGCCTAATACACCTAAACCGATTCTAGTTAAACTGAAAAACAACGGCGCGAAGAGTGCAGCAATGTGTAAAAGATCTGTCATTAAGACCAAGACGAACGGAGAACTCTGGCTTTCAGACGACGTTACCAGGCAGAATGCTATACTAATCGAACGCCTGAAAAAACATCGCAGGATTAGTAACGCATGGTATTTCAACGGCAGTGTCTATGGTGAATTAACGAACAATAAACAGAGGGTTAGATTTGAGATCCTAGACGATATCGATGAAAAGATAGAAGAAAGTGAGAAATGAACAGAAACTATTTCGGATATCTATTTGCCACGTTCAGAACTCTCTGTGCTAGTATTCGTAGAGACTGTTCCGGTATCGTTTGACCACAAAAATTACAACGCAGAACATTATGTGAAAGGCTTTAGGGACTTAACCAACCATTTTTGAACTGAAAATGTGTTTTTTATACGTTTCTTTTCTCTCTCTTCTTTCCTATGCTTTCCTCTCTCTTTCTCTTCTTTCTCTATCACCTTCTTTCGAAGTACAATGGCTCCACGCTTTCAAAGGTAATGTTAACTTTATAACCAGCTAATGATGAACTTAAAAATTTTATCTGTTAACTGTCAGGGTTTAGGGGATATCAACAAACGTCGAGATGTTTTCAATTTTTTAAAAGGATTGAATCATAATATGTACTGTTTACAAGACACTCATTTTACTCCCAACTCTGAGAATGATGTTAAAAATTTATGGGGTTTTGATTGCTATTTTAGCTCATTTTCTTCAAATTCGAGGGGAGTAGCTATTCTTGTTAATAATAACTTTGATATACAGACTTTAAAACAAAAAGGGGATGCCGACGGAAATTATCTCTTTCTAGAATTCAAAACAGAGGAAAAAAAGCTGCTTCTTTGTAATATTTATGGCCCAAATAATGATAATCCAGACTTCTATGAAAACATACAAACTTGTATAGATGATTTTAATTGTGATAATGTCATTGTATGTGGTGATTTCAACCTTGTATTGAACCCAGATATTGATTATTATAATTACAGACATATAAATAATCCAAATGCAAGGCAAAAGGTCCTTGACTTTATGGAAGATGGGGGTTATATCGATATATACAGACAATTTCATCCAGACACTCTAAGATACACATGGAGGAAAAAAACCCATTAAAACAAAGCAGGCTTGATTTCTTTCTGATCTCAGAAAATTTATTGCCAAGTGCAGTAGGATGTACAATTGAAACATGTTATCGGTCTGATCATTCCATGATTAGTTTATCTTTAGCTTTTAATGATTTTAAGAAAGGTAAAGGTCTTTGGAAATTTAATAATTCCCTTCTTAGTGATGAGAAAATTCTTAATACTATAAATGAAGTCATTAAGAATGTTAAGAAACAGTATGCTGTACCTATATATTTAATGGAAAACTTGCAGCAAGTTAATGATGAAGAATTAGTCTTTACGATAAATGATCAATTGTTTTTAGAAACCCTACTCATGGAAATAAGAGGAAAATGTATTTCCTATTCCTCATACAAAAAAAAACTAACAAAGCAAAAAGAAGAAAAACTTGTAGAAGAAATAAAATATCTTGAAGAAACAATACATACTATTGCTGACAATGTTGAACTTTTAGCGGAAAAAAATAAGGAATTAGAAGATAGAAGAAAACAAAAGATGAGGGGTGTTTTAATAAGATCTTGGGCAAGATGGGTAGAAGAAGGGGAAAAACCGTCACAATATTTTTGTAACTTAGAGAATAGAAATTTCACAAGTAAGATCATTCCAAAAATAGAAACAGAAAATGGTAACATAATTTATAAGCAGGCCGAGATTTTGAATGAAGATAAAAAATATTATGAATACTTATATAGAGACATAGACAATTCTATAAACGATATCAATGATCTTGATGATGAATTAAATTTTCCAAACATTGCTAAACTTTCAAAAATAGAGTCCATGGAGACAGAAGGTAAAATAACATTAAAAGAAGCTTCAGAAACACTCCACAATATGAAATCAAATAAATCGCCAGGGTCAGATGGATTTACATCTGAGTTTTTTTAAGGTATTTTGGAAGTCCATTGGTATTTTTGTAGTAAGGTCCATTAATTATGCCTATGAAAATAAGACGCTAAGTATTACACAAAGACATGGTATAATAACCTGTATACCAAAAGGTGATAAACCCAGACAATATCTAAAAAACTGGAGACCTATTTCGCTACTTAATACTGTTTATAAAATTGCATCAGGCTCAATTGCTAATAGAATGAAAAAATATCTTGATAAAATTATTCATCCAGATCAAACTGGTTTTATACAAGGAAGAAATATTTCTGAAAATATAAGACTTATATATGATATCATGCAATTTACAGAAGAAGAAAGTATACCAGGACTTTTGCTCCTAGTGGACTTTGAAAAAGCTTTTGATTCCTTGTCTTGGTCTTTTATACAGAAATCCCTCAAATTTTTTAATTTTAGCAATTCTATTAGAAAATGGGTTGATATTTTTTACACAAATATTACAGCTTCCATTAATCAAGGAGGAAATTTATCGCAATCTTTTAACCTACACAGAGGCTGTCGTCAAGGGGACCCCTTGTCTCCATATCTATTTCTCATTTGTGCAGAGATCCTTGCAATCAGCATTCGAAACAATAAGAATATAAAGGGGATTCGGTTTATGAATACTGAAAAAAAGTTAAGTATGTTGGCAGATGATACATCTTTAATATTAGATGGAAGTGAAAGATCACTCCAAACAAGTCTCACTACTCTTAAAAGATTTGCGAATATGTCAAGCTTGCATATAAATTACAGTAAAACTCAAGTAGTCTGGATTGGGTCCAAAAAAGGCAGCATCGATACCCTAAGTACAGATCATATGTTAGAGTGGGGAAAAGTAACTTTTAAACTATTAGGCATTGATTTTGACACAGATCTAAAAAATATATTTATGCTTAATTATGCATCAAAAATAAGTAATATAAAAAAATTAATGCAACACTGGAACAAGAGAAATTTAACTCCTCTTGGTCGTCTAACGGTTCTAAAAACTCTTTTATTGCCAACCTTAAATCATGTTTTTGCATCTCTCCCAAGTCCCTCTGAAATTCAAATGAAAGAATTAGAAAATCTATTTTATACTTTTGTAATGGGTACTAATATTTCAAGATTAAAAAGAAAAATTTGTGTAGTGAATTACAAAGAAGGGGGCTTTAAGATGATTAGTATAAGAGAGTTCATTATGTCCTTAAAACTAGTTTGGATGAAAAAATTATTACTGCGGGACAATGGGTTAGACTCCTTTTTAAATATTGACATTAAAAAAATTGTATGTTGTGGGCAAGAGTATGTTGTCAAAAAAATCAATAATTTAAAAAATAATTTTTGGAAGGACGTGTTACATGCATGGCTAAGCTTTTGTGACAAATCATTACAAAATGATACACTTACTTCTTTAGAACCATTATTCCATAATAAAAAATTAATCATTAATAAAAAGCCATTCTTCTATAAAAAATGGTTCTCTTGTAACATTTTATGTATAAATGACATACTCAATGAAGATGGGACATTTATGAGTTTGAATGATCTACATATGAAATACGGGATAAAAACACATTTCCTTGAATATAGTGGCATTAAGGCATCTATATTAGAATGACTAAGAAAGATTAACAGAGATCAAAATAACTTATCTAAGATAGCTTACCCATATATCCCAGATAATGTTTATTCGCTCCTGAATGCAAAGAAATCACATGATTTATATGAAATACTTATTCGACAAAAAATTGAACCATTGGGAAAAAATCTCTTGGAATAGAATATTTGACTTGAGCAATGGTGAATGGGAGATAATTTATTTACTTCCATTCAAAATTACAAAAACACCAAACTTCAGTGGTTCCAATTTAGAATAAACCATAAAATACTAGCGACAAATTCCTTTCTACACAAAATTAATAAAACTGATGATAAAAAATGCACCTTCTGTAAAAAAGAAACTGAAACAATAGAACATTTGTTGTGGGAATGTGAACATGTTCAGTCTCTTTTAGAGAATTTTGCAAACTACTGTTTCAATAAAATCCACACTTCTATAACCTTTTCAAAAAAAAAGATTTTTTATTGGGCTCTGTGAAGAAAACTACGGAAGCCCAATAGTGCAAGCCAAAAATAAATAAAGAAAAAACGAAATTAATATATAAAGAGAAACGAAATTAATATATAAAGAAAAACGAAATTATTATATAAACGGAAACGAAATTATTAAAAAAAAGAAAAACGAAATTAATATATAAAGAAAAACGAAATTATTAAATAAAGAAAAACTAAATTATTAAATAAATCAGTTCGTTTTTCTTTATTTAATAATTTCGTTTATCTTTATATATTAATTTCGTTTCTCTCTATTTAATCATTTCCTTTTTCTTTATTTAATAATTTCGTTTTCTACTTTTAATAATTTCGTTTTTCTTTATATATAAATTCCGTTTCTCTTTATATATTAATTTCGTTTTTAAAGTAGAAAACTGAAACTAAAATACGGAATTTAAATATGTGCATGGTAAGGGCCTGCAGGTGTCGTAACAGTAAATCATGGCTGACGCAAAATAATCCTGGAATCTTCCCTTCCGATTCTGGCATTTTTATACGAGACTGGAGCTGAATTTTTTTATGAGAT